ACAACCGTCCAAATTGAATCAAAGATCAAAATCGAAGAAGCTGTGAACTGGATGACGTGGAAAAGAAAGTCAAGCGTGGCAAAAAATGAGCCACATAAGCAATAACCGGGAGTAACAGGTTGCTAGCAGGTCATTTGAACTCATGTGATTCTTTTTTAAAAGTAAATGTATGTGTTTGACACTTTGGTGAGTAGATGACTTTATGTGATGGTTTTCGTATAGTACATGTCCTTATTTGACCCTTTTCTCTTTTAATTTTAATTTTGAGTCGTTTGTACATACATTTGTACATTTGCATGTGTACAGGCAATTGGGAGATAAGTTTTGTCTTCTTGCTAACGAATTGTCTATGTACATAGGCAAAATAGGGGAGTGGATTCAAAAGTGAGTATAAAAGTTGGTACAAACAGATTTTTTGTCTAATTTTTATCTTCCATTCATCCACTTCAGAACTAGGAGTACTATCACTACTATGTAAGAGACATATTTTTGAGTTTTCTAATCATTTTCCAAAACAAACAAAAAATGAAATACTTCTATGTTTTTTTGTGAATTAGAGAATAAAGTTTTACTAGTTTTACGTCAAATGGTGGACCCTGTCCAACTCCAGTTTTCGTCCGCTCTAGTCTTAGTCCATCCGGTCCGGTCCGGTCGATGACCAGGTAGTCTTGGTTCGATCTAGTCCGGTTGAAGGTCGTCTGATCCCGGTCCGATCAGGTCAACGGTCGTGCGGTCACAGTCCAATTAGGGGAGGACCGATCCAGCGGTCTGGATCGGTCTGACACTGTTTGGGACCGAACCGGGTCCGCCAAAGAGCGGTTCACGGTTCTGTCTCACCTATTTGGGGAATGGGGATCCAATAGGAGGTTCCGCTCACGATTTCGGTCCGGGACCGGTCATTTTTTTAAGCTTGAAGCTTGATAAAAAAAATAGTGAGTCCAAGTTTGGGACAAACCTTACCGCCCGGTTATCAAGAATCAGCCTAGAACCAGAAAATAGCGAGTCGGTCCTGGGCATACAATTGTTTTTAAAAACTAGAGGTCTCGGTCCGGTCAACGACCCGACAATCCTTGTCCAGCCGATGACCCGATTGTTCTGTCCCGATCCAATCCCCGTGCTTTAAAGGGAAAATCCCCGAAAAAGGAGTAAAAAGTTAGAAAATTCTAAAATAGGACTGTCATTTTTTATTCTCAAAATAGAAGTATTTAGTATTTACTAACAAGTTTGAAAAATTATGTCATATTTGAAGTCTAGTAATTAGTCATATTTTGATAATAAAAACATGATAGTCCTATTGTGGAATATACAAATGTTTTTAGTCCTATTTAGGACAATTTCCCCTTTTTAAATCATTTTTTCGAAGTGAAGAGTTTCAAAAGAGCTATTGGATTGCCAATCAATATGGAAAAAGGAAAAGAGTTAGTCAAACTAGCCGTTAGGATTGACCGAGACCGGCCGGTTTCGGTCTCAACTTTCCTATACTCGGGACTGGGTACCCTATTTCAGCTATACCAGCTCTGGATTCCAGACTAGGACCGTACTTTTCGTCTTCAAGCCCGTCAGTCCTAGAACCGGGTGAAAAAATATGGTGAACATGTTTTCAGATTTGGAAATGGAAAACTGAAAAATGGAAACTGAAAGTTGAAGAACAAAAAAATAGAGAAAGGAAAACTGAAAAGAAAATTAAAAAGTGCCTCTTTTAGCACTAGAAAAACAAAGGCTAAAAATTATATTAAGATTAATGCATAATAGAAAACAAATAAAACTTCGTATAATTACATTTTATTTGCTTCGGTTTATTATACCAGATCAATTTTGAAAGGTAAAACTGAATCCGAAATCGACGCAAACAATTGTTACTTCGTTCGATTTTATTGCATCGTTTTCGGTTTTTCACAGTTTCATATAGGGTGTGTACAATTTGGTAAATCGACCAAACCAAATCGATATAGATATTTCAAACCCATCCCTAGATTTAATTGTATTTAGTTTGGAGAAACAAAGACTGGGGAAATTGCAGCGAAAAAAATATGCACGTAGTTTGAAAAGCGATCTGTTCGGCATTTCTTCTTTTTGATCTATTCTTTAATGTTTTTGGATATTGGGTCAGGCCTAGCTCTCCAATTATTTGTTAGTGTTTTCCTTGTGTATTTCGAGAAGGTATGCCTCCTCTTGAGAGGTTTTGGTCTAGTCTCACTCTCATTCTGTTCTAACTTTATCTTTAATAAAATTCGGTAAATGTTCCCTTGCATTTACCTCATTGATGAGTGGTTTGCTTACCGGGTTAAAAAAAATAGCTTTAAGGAGATAAATCGCTTGTTTGGTAGTTGAAATGAGGTGAATAGTTGGAATCACATATGGCTAATCTATAGAATTTGTTAAACTTATGTAGAAATACTAAACGAAGACAATTTTCTCAACAAACAAAGTCAGTAAAAATACTACCAAACAGTTTTATTAAGCTTAATGAGCAAAACAATAAGACAGCCTTAAGTCGTTAGCTGGTTGTTGCCAATTAGAAAGCGCTGAAAATTGAATTATCAATAACAACAATATCGGCTCTACAAATTCCCTGTTGAGTACATCGGTGCGGGTGAAATCGTTGAGGGCGGGGGTGATACGACCACGGGCTGTGTCCAATGGAAGCAACTCGGAGGCGTCCCGGGACTCGACCTACACGACGGTCCCGATGGGGCAACCGGGACGTGTTTCGGTAACATGCTCTCGTACTCGAGGGACACTAGACGTTTACTTCTTGCGGCAGCAATAGGCCTACTTGAGAGACATCCGCCAGTTGCAAGCAGCATGAGGAAGACCATTTGCATGCAAACCACTTTTTGGTTTTGTGGACACATTATATTAGCTATTGTTTATGTGATTTGGCTTTGAATTTCAAATGGTGTTTTCCTTTTTTGGAATGTTTTTGTAATTGGGAACGTATGGTACCGTAGTACTTATATATTTTAGGAGTAGTTAGTAGTGGTAGTTGGTCAGCTATGTCTTTGGGCAATAATAATTGTGGTCAAAGGAGACAGTAATTTGTTAGTCATTGAGATTAATTACCTATCCCTATTTTGACTATGAGGGTGATGATGATGGAAGATTGGCTGATTGGGGTTGGCAGCTGAGCGCCATGGTACGTTTCCATTGGTTAGTCATAGAACATCAATCATGGAAAAAGTCAAATCTAACATGAGTTTCTTTGCATAAGAGTTTCTAATATTAACTTTGATCGTAAAAAAATAGACTTATAAAACTTATACGGAGTAATAAACTAGCATTTCAATCATATATATTAAAATGAAGATTCAAAATTATTTTGGTATTACAAAATAATAAGGTTTTTGACTAATTAACGATCAAAGTTCACAAAATTTAACTCAAAAAGTCAAATTGTAAACATAATTGTAGGAAGGAGGGAGTTAATAGATAGTGTAAAATTTAACCCTAAATGACATGAAGCTCTTTTAAAATTTATTCAAATCAAAGACCGGTCAAAAAATTGAGAGTAATATTCTTTAACTCTTTTAAGGCAAATTCTATAGTACCATTAGATTTTTTAGAGTAATACTCTTCAACTCTTAATTTGAGAGTAATACTCTTTTAGCAGCATTCAGCATTCAACCTCTTCTAGATGTGGAGTTTGGGGGGGTCAACATACTACATTACTATCCTTATTTTAAATCAACATATGATTGTTTTCCAACGTCTACATATATCAATGAGAGTGTGAGCGCGTGCACGTACATGAGGCTTTTCCAGTTTGCAATCTTTTTCTTAGATATCTAATAAAATTGATAGTTGTATGTATTGATTGATTTTTGTTTAAAGTTAAGATATGCCTCTACATAATATATAATAGTGTAAACATAACACTATCTAATTGCCAAAGTTCTCAATAAGTGTATTATATAATTTATATGTGTGAATTTACAATGGACATTTGGAAATAAAGATAGTAATAAGAATTAGGCATGGCCTCGGTTCGGGCCGCCCGGCCCGGGACCGGCCCGACCCGCTACTGTGCGGGCCCGGCCCGGCCCGGTTATCCGGGTCCGGGTCCGGTTCGGGCCGGAGGCCCGGGGGTGGGGCGGTTCCGGGCTCGGTTCATGGTTTTGACGGCCCGGCCCGGCCGGTTCGGGCCCGGGTCCGGGCCAAATCTATTTTTTTTTAATTTTTTTCATTTGTTTTGGGCTGTTGGGCTTGGGCTATCTGTTTAGGCCGGTTTGGGGGGGTTTGGGGGGGGTGGGGGGCGGGGGGGGTGGGGGAAGAAAGGAAAAAAAAATTAAACCGGGTGGCCCGACCGGCCCGGCCCGGTCCGGCCCGGAACCGGAACCGGACCCGGACCCGGAGGCCACCGGTTCGGGCTCGGGCCCAACAAAACAGACCCGAGGCCCGGCCGGGCCTAGGCCGGAACCGGCCCGGGTCCATCCATAATAAGAATTAAGAATGCAAGAGTTAGTGATGGTTTAATATAGAGATTCTTCCACTATGAAAAATCATACCCGGGGCTTTATGGTGAGGTGTTCTTTAAAGATTCAGGAATAAATTTATAAAGAATTAAAAAATGATGAAGGTTTAAAATGGTCATAATTGCCTTTAAAAAAACGGTCATAATTGGAGTTTGAATTTCTATTTAAAAGCATTTAGTTCAATTAAGAAAAGGGTAGTTATAAAACAAAGTTGAAGACTAAATGACATAAAATGCAATTATTATATAAAATCACATAATTATACATATATGATTTGATTCTCATAAAATTATAATGCTTATAAATTATTTCCGATCAGGGGCGGAGCCAGGACACTGGGCCGGACTGGGCCGATACAAAGAATATTTTTGGAAAAAAATTTACACAATTTTTTTTACACTAAAAATTTAGACATTTTTAAAATTTGGACTGGGTCAGGGCTAGGGTTGGCCCTCCCCTAGCTCCGCCCCTGTTTCCGATATGCTCCGCATTGAAAATTCATTTATTACTCCGTAAAACTTTACTTTTCGGATATATAAGATGTGATTAATTATGAACGGTTATATTATGAGCCTCAACTTCACATCCAAAGCAAGGCTTCCCAACTTAAAAAAAAAAAAAAAGTAGACTTACAAAAATGTATCTACAAAATTAACTCTTTCACTCACTATTTTGCCTACTCTATGAAGTTATGTCCTGTTTTGGTTCCCTGTGAATGAAGGCTTTTGATGGGGCCTGAATGTCCAATTTCAAGGTCTCCTTTCACCAAAAAAGCAGCAGATTGTGATTCCGCTGTGCATTTAATTGATGAAATTGAACCAATTGGAATTTACCCGAATCACAGTTTGCTGAATTTGCTTGGAACGAAAACTTTGAAGGAACAATCACACAAACATTGTGGGCTTCATGCATTGAAACGCAATTTTGTAGGATTGTTTGTTCCTAGATGTGAGTGATTCAAAAGACTTCATCTATTGTTGATGTTACAGAAAATATTGGCAGGCTAGGTTAATTTAGTAATGCATTGCAATTAGTAAGCAGGGGAGCAGATGATGATCTACAACTAACAAGCTATCATTTGGTAAAGTGGTATACCGCTCATGCAGTTCCTGGTATAAGTTGCCAAAAAGGCTGGTCCTATGGGTGTACCCAGTTATGGTTCATGACCCCGGGTTTAACCAGGAGACCGAACTAGATTTCTGGTTCCATACCAGATCTGGTACCGAGAAACAAGTCCAAGCCACTTTCTAGTTACAATCAGACCGCTTCCAGAGTTCCAGTTTGTTATAGGCTAAGAAACCAGTCCTAAGCAATCTTAGAACCAGACCAGGTAGACATTGTTATGGTTCGGTTTTACCCTTTACGTGACCAGGAATTGGAACTGGGCTGTAACCAGAAGTCCAGAATGGTGTCCAGCCCTAGCTGATGTTAAGTGTTGACCATTGCACAAGTTCCATGTTAGTTTTTAGGATGAAATTTTGCAGAATTTTATCAAGAGCAGGAGACCAAGATATGGGCGTATTTGCACAAATATCTATTATGGTTTAGTACCAGGTGAAACACTTCATCGGATTGATGAAGTTCTGTCATTCAATCTGCCGGGTACAATTAAAGGTTCTTCACCTAACATCATCTACCAGGTGTATGCACTTATTATTGTCCATCTAACATCATCATCTACGTAAATGATTCATTTTCCACCTACTGCCTGCTTCATAATCTCTACAGCATTAACATTTCTGTGATCAGGTCGTCAACAATTGATTTCTCAACATCCTTACCAATTAAGTTGATGTCAACTCTAACATCCAACCAACACATTTCCCGATCCAGAATCCGCTCAGATGTATCACTGTTTGACAAACTAGCCTGGTCCGCAAGCAAGCGAGGCAAAGCATCGGCGACTTTGGGTTGTCTCTTGCAACCCAAATCATTAACAACGCTTCTCTGCTGCAACCAAGGGCAGGGGTCTACATACTGCTGGAGAATCTCCAAAAGAGCCAGATTCAATCGGTCAAATAAGAGTCTCCTGTCATGCCTTGATATAACAACAGATGCCCCCCCTTCTTTGAGGCTGTACTTTTTCTCCATATTCTCAAAAGTGGAGGGGCTGAGAGGGAAGTCTAGAGAGTGGGAAGTTGCAATGAAGGCATCAGGTTCTGACTCCTTAAAACCAGAATCCATCAGCACATCACTTATGTAGGAAGTTTCCCATCTGCTTGGGGACATCTCCATGCATTTCTCCTCTTCAACAATTAACATTTCAGGTTGTGGAAAATCATTAAAGTAATCTGCAGCCGCATCTGCATCACAATATGGGGACTTCTTTTTCAGTTGCTGAATTTTCATGCGTAGATCTAGCAAGAATAGAACAAGAAGAAATTAGAACTGCAAGGTGATATCATTCCCGCCTAGGGACTAGTATGAATTGAAATTTTGGGGGTCACTAGCATTCCATGAATGCAGTGATGAAATTTACATGGCGGATGACACAAGTAAGCAATGATTTGCACTTGTATGAAGGAGAATAAAAAAAGAACATTTTTTGCATGATGGTTTGCCAAAAAAAAATGAGAGCCTGATGAACTCGCAGCAATGATAGTATGGTTTTTACTCTGCATAAAAACCCCTATAAACATGAAACTGTCACTGTTCACTTAAACATGTAACACACATGATTTCACCTAAAGCAGTGAATGAAGGAAGGGCTTTCACTTCGGAATAGTTCATAAGAGCAATCCCATATGGCCATATATTGGTGTTCTCCGAATAAGTCCACAAATGCATAGTTCCAGTATAATCACAGTAGCAGGGGGGGGTACTTCTCAAAATGAACCTGAGTGACCAGTAACTTGGTAAACAATTTAAAACACCAAGTGAAAAAGACATCACACAATGTGCCATGTGGCCTAAGGACCTGCTGAATTGGTTTGGTTTATGTAGGTCACCAGTTGATTTTGGGAAGATACCCGTTAATTGAGGTTATATGAGAATTGTGCATTTGTTTTAGCTTTAACTTCTAAATCTCTACATAATATTTTTAATTCAAATCTCAGACTATTATTACTGGAACTTTTTATGTGTGGGTGTGGGTGTGGGTGTGTTTTATACACACACATGTAATGTTGTATCTTTTTCGTAGGGTGTCTTCATGAAACTACATAAAGTGTAACTGTATAAGCAACTTCCAAGCTTTCTGAGACCTGCTTTTACAATAGAAATGAAAATATGTTTTTATTTTAGCACGTAATGTAGCATGAAATCTCAAAGCGCATCTATAACTTCGCATTTGGCATTTTTAGATATAGTATGAAACTCTGCTAATCTCTAATTACCGTTTATTTTGGCACTGACTGTCTCTAAGGATTCAGAACCAGAGAGGGAATCCTCAGTAAAAGTGAGCCCCTCCAGAACTGAAACAGGACTAGGATGGCCATCCCTGGAGCTTTCTGATGATTCTGATTCAGGTAGATGACATTGCGAAGGTGCTGTGAGTAGGACTGAACTTTCCTGAAAATCCAGAAAATGTTCAGAGAAAAATGGGTCATATAGCATAAACTAACAGATTACTTAGAGAGGTAACCTTTAAATCAAATTAATATCTAAATTGCATACAAGTTCTTGTGTACTCGTTGATATTAGTTTAACTATGGTAAGTCTAAGGATCTTGTTCTAACAGACTAAATCCTTAATGGCCTAGACAAGATAAATCACATAAATGAGTGGTAATAAATGTTATTCACATTGACATCTGATCATATTATTAACTGCAACTCTTGGACATGTCAATTGCAATTTATTGCTCGAGTTACATGATGTAGTATACCCCTCCGTCCCTTATAACTTTGCCAAAATTGACTGACACGTAGAATAATAAAGTAAAAGTTGTGTGATTGAGATTTGGGTAGAGGAGAGAAACTAAATAGGAACCACAAATTCTTTATTTAAAAGGGAAAGTGGCAAAGTTAGGATGTTTTTAATTGGACTTATTTCAGTCCCAAACCAGACCAGACTTTAACATACCAGGCCAGACCAAATTTTGACAGTTATAAAATACACAGAGACCAAACATCTACTAGACCGGACCAGTTTAGACCAGAAAATTTCAGTTCAAGTAAAAACATCCTTCGTGGGACAACCAAAAAGGAAAGTTGAAAAAGTTATAAGGGACGGACGGAGTATATATACATACCAGGCAAAAAAAAGGAAATAGGAAAACACACATTCATTTTTGCTGGAATATGTTGCAAAGGGATATGTTTGCTGGAATACACATTTATTTTTTAGTCTTCTAGTTTGCTGGAATACACCATCATTAGAAAAAGGAAAACTTTTTTCAAAGTTATAAGTTATAAAGAAGCATCAGTGACGCCAACCACAGCTACCAGTTCACCACCTTCACCATTACAGGCCGTGAAAACAACAATCAAGATTGGAACCATAGCCACTGTCATCATTGTTCACTCTAGCCACGCAGGAAACATTCTCCACCCTTGCCACTTAGATTCAAGTATTCAACCACACCAACACCTAAGTATCCCCCAATTAGTCACATGCGACCACTACAAATATTGGTAATGTTGTCCACCGCCACAATCGTCCACCTCTACCACAGCCACCATTGTCATTGCATGCGACCTTTGCCACCATCATCACCCATTGTGACCGCCATGATTGTTATTGACCACCATCACCTACCGTTGACTCGTCGACCACCGCCATCAACTAACGCTTCCACACCGATGGTTGACTTCCACTACTGACAACCATTGTCTCCATCGACCAACACCACCACCGCCTACAATCCCTAACGACCACCTACCGTTAATGACAATCTTTACCAGTTACCACTAACAACCACCAATTCACCATCACCGATGGCAGAGTTGACAATTGTTGCCCCACTACCAACAACGGTTACCTCCATAAAAAAATCGCCGCTACAACTACCACCCATGTGGACACCGACTACTGTCATTGTCAGTAACCAACATCACCAACCACTTTCACCATTGACAATCATCGCCACTATTGGAAACCATCAATGCCGTCGCTGACAACCATTTTCAGGGAATACTGCCACAACTAGGGACCTCAGCATCATCTTTGGAAATGTGTTTCTCAAAACTAGCAACCTTGGCACCACCTTCGTTACTTTGAATGTGTTTCCAAAAAAGAAAACAGAAATGGTGGGAAACAGGGAATACAAAATTTGGAGAACATATAATAGAAGTAAACAATCTCTGTGTGCTCTTGGGTCCTCAAAAAAGCAACCTGTTGTTGCATTATCAGCATGTAATGCAGCGTATATTGAAGCTTCAGTGCTTCACCAAACATTAGTGAGCCAGGTTGACTTAAGAAAATAGTAAGCCAACTTGATTTCCCAAAACAGGGTCCATTAAAATTTTATGTCGACAGTGTTTCATATACAAATTTGGCTAAAAATCATGTGTTTCATCGGAGGAGCAAGCTCATAGATACGCGATATCTTTTCCTGAGGAGTCGTTATAACCATGATGTGATCAAATTAAAGTGTAGCAAGACTGAAGACCAAGCAATGGATATGTTGATAAACCCTTGAAGTTTGATACATTCATCAAGCTAAGAAACTTGCTTCGAGTGAAGACCCTCCCATATCAGATTTAAGAAGAGATGTTGAGATGTTGACCAGATTATATATTTACTAATGGGGTTTTTCCTTAAATATGACTAAATTGAAGCTTATTTCGAAACAAAAGTGACTACTTTTACATATAGACAAAAAGGTGACTAACAAGGTAATATATTTGGTAAAACATGTCACTGTCAGATTTTTATGGCACTACCAGATTCTTACATCATTGACGGATGTCACTGTCGCCACCACAAATGTCAGTGCCACCATAAACATGTCACTGTGACCGCCGGAAACATTCCTGATGCCTTTTTTGGGCAAATTTAATAAAAACGGAAAAGCAAAAAAAAAAATCAAAGTTTTCCGGCGGTTTCTGGAAGAGGCTGGGCAGGTGTGGGCTTGGACAGAGATTGGATATAAATTACAATAAGAATTTTTTTAATCAATTAAACAAAAGGTTAGTAATATTTTGGGAAATAAGGAAAACTACTCACTTTTTTGTATTTCACAAAGCTATAGGTAATATTTGTGTTATTTTTACTCTGATTTCAGTATTTTAATAGCTAGTTGTGAATTATATTTTTGTCTTGTTAGTTGTTGTCCTACTTAATAGAGTTGTTAGAGTTATGATCCTTGATCCTAGTTAGCTAGCTTAATCTCCTATTTAAAGGCAACCTGACAGAGCCACGAAAAGATGGGAGCTAGTGGAAGATAAGTCCTCTCTTCAAATAGCAATTTTCACATCCTGCATAACACAGTTGATCTTCTTTTTTTATGCTCAGTCCCAAAACCTTGTTCCAACAATTACTTTTCCAACACACCTCACAACTGAAAATTAAAATTCAATTTCTACGACTACTGTAATAGTGGCCAGCTAACCTCCTACTTTTTTTTCAAGTGTCGGAACCTGACATAACATGTAAGCAGCTAAGCATGTAAAGTGTTAAATGACTGGTCCAGCGACCCATACATGAAATTAGTAGGTATCATGCATTATAAGGGCTCTCATCACTATTTTTTTAGTCAAAGGTGAAGCATATATTCAACCACCATAAACTAAATAAAAAGTACAACAAAAAATAATATCAAAGGATTTGTTTCAAAAGAATGGAAAATAAAACTCAATGCTGTCATGTGAGCCGTAAGGCATGCCAGAGTGATGTATACATTATAAATTTTAAGATCATTGAAATTGTGAGTAGTTATACCTGTATATAAGATGCATCTTGGTCAGGAAATAAAGTCTCATTGCTTTCAAAAATTGACTTCTGAATTATGTCAATAGAAGACTCAGAAGCTTTAGCTTCACCGGTATGTGCAGTATGCATAGCTAAATCAACAACAGAAGTTGCACTCTTGCTGACTGTCATAGCTGAAGGCAAATGCAGCTTCTCCGACAGGTTGCACTCTGCATTTGAATTCATCATTTTGCAGAATATTGCTTCCTGGAAAGTATCTTTAGTACCACTGCCTTTGCGGTGACCAGAACGTAGTTTCTTCCGGCCAGATCTTTTGTCACTAAATGAAACCTCCTCCACTTGACTTTGGCTTCCATCCCATGACTTATTTCTACTACGGTCCGTGGACCTTAAACCATTTGGACGCACTCTAAGCCTCAATTTTCGGCTATTTGGACCTACTTCTTGTTGTGTACTCATTCCCTGAATTTGGCTACCAAGAGGAGAAAGTGATCTGGACTTGGAGGAAATGTACCCATCCTTCCAAGCATCCCTACTGCTTACACCTAAAGGATATTCCCAAGCATCGGTACACTTTTCTCCAATTTTTCCATCAAAGGTCTCCATGGCATGTAAACGTTCAGACTCTGTTTCTATATTAGGTAAGGAAAGCATTTCACCGAGTGTACTTCCCCTGCTAGCTGTTTCCATGTCCTGACAAGTTTGAGACATTTTCCACCTTTCAGATAACCTCTTCGTAGCCTCCTTGCTCACAGATGACTCAACTGTGCCAGTTAACAGAGATTTGCATCGGTTAGTTCTGCAATACAAATTCTCCAAACACGGTTTCAGCATGTCTAGTTCGTTGGAAGAATCACTTTCACACACACCACATGAGCTCTCATCAGTGGCATAACCTATAATGTCAGAATATACCAAATTTGAATCTTTTCGCGCATCTGAAGGTCCATGACTATTTCTCATGCGCGTTGTAATCTGCTTGGCAATTTCTCTGGCTTCTTTTGAATAAAAACTTGAATCATGTGCATATTTACAAGAGTTATTTATTTCCGCTGACCCAGATTTCCCTGTCCCAAAACTTAGACGCGTTCCAGGCTTCTTTTCTTCAGCGCGATATTGAGCAGAAGCAACATCACTGTGTGTCTTCCCACAGTTTGGCTTCAGAACCACAATTCTAGTTGGAAAAATGCTTTCACTTTTCCCTTTAACGTGAATCTTAGGCGACTTGAAAGAACTGTGACCTCCATGTGGATGCTGCAAATGGAGCAAGTGAGCATTATCTCTTCTCCTTGGTAACTTCATATCATGATGGCCTGAACCACATCTCCCTGGTTTTCCAAGTATTGAAGTGCCTTGGCTATTTGCAGAAGTTGCTGGTTTCAGAATAGCTATGCGACTATACATAGAACTAGAAGTGTCAACTTGAATATCAAGAAAATGCTTTGAATTCTGAAGCTTCTCATCAGCAGAGAGGTGTGCAGCTTCTAAATATTTATGCTGAATGACTGCCATCTCAGGCATGTTCGTGTTATGTTCTGGCTTTGTATTCCATCTTGATGAATAGCGCCGGGTAGAAATATAAGAAGCTTCCAAATCCTCATTCAGATCATTGACCTGATGATGCTCCGTATAGTTCCTTCTACGTGCTTGGTCCACAAACATTTGCATAGTCCTTGGGGCCTCTCTTTGTTCTTTCCTCTGTCTGAAACTATCTGGGGGCCTCCTTTGCTCTCTAGTAAATTGTTGTGGAGAAGGTATATCATCAAGACCCATCAATCTGGCAATGACACTTGGTTCCTTTATTTTTGGTTCAACTTGAATCAACATCTCCTTTGCAATTAAACTCTTGACTGGCTTCGCTATAACTCTTTTAGAAGCACTCTCCCCCAACTCAATCATGAACTGCAGATTCCATGGGATTAAAAATACAAAAGTAAGAAACATAAACTAAATATCACAGGTATTTGTTTTCATTGGCTAAATAAGCTTTGAGTCGGTTGATTTGCAGACCATATCTTCATTAGCAGTTGAATCATAACGACAGACGGAATTATGAGTGGGCTTTGGAGCTGTGATCTTTTCTTGGGCCTTTATGCTTCCTGGTACAAATTAATCACAATACGATTAGCATCACTTCATAACGGTTTAATAAATGCACAAAAGATACAACAGTTGATTCCACCAAAACTTTGCGCATGTTCAAATTCATCAAAAAAAATGATGCAGAACAAAAAGCTTTTTTTGCACCATAACTCAAAGTGTACACATATGCTCATCACAAATGCTCTACTTATCTCATTGTTTCAATTAAAACAAACAAAAAAGTGCAATTTGCACAGAGCAATGCAAGAACAAGAGAATTTTAAAACATTAGGGAAACAGGAAAGCACAATTATGAGGAACTGTCAAAATTTGTCATGAATGACCAGGGTTTTGTTTCAAAGGAAGCAAAGCTGGTACCACATCCACCAGTACATTATCAGTCGCTGATCATAAATCACCTAAACAAACTACAGTTACAAAACTACAGTTTTGTAACTGTAGTTTATAAATCACCTGTTTTATCAGTCGCTGATCATTTTTTTTTATTTATAAATCACCTAAACAAACTACAGTTACAAAAGCACTCAATCTTCGATTCCCCTTTGGAAGATTACAGCTGTGCAGAAACAACTAACTTGTAATTAAGAACGCCTCAGTTGTAATTAAGGTGTAAATATTATAAAGGTTGTCGCTAGACAAAAATTACAGTTGTTCACAAACTGCCTGGGCCCACTTACACAGAAATGCAAGAAGAAAAATCTATAAACAAATGCAGCAGACATATGAGCACGCACAGAAACATTAAATGCGGGGAAATTCATTGAAAAATTAATTAAATCATACGGAGTAAGACAGAAAGACGTATTTAATATATATTCCACTTTTCATATTTCAATAATTCTCGTGGTTTGCTAGTCTACTTAGGCTAATACTAGGAAGAATAAGTCCAACTCCTGAAATTAACACGGCGGTGCTAATTCCAGTAGACCACGACAGGTGATATTCAGAACAACAAATAGAATTTCCTCACTTAATTCACTTCTGTTTTCAATTTTCTCATTTACTAAACACGCATATTCCTTTTACAACCTCCACACTTATGCGTTCGTTTTTACCTTCAAAGGAAACTGAAGCTCGTTTGAATTTTCTGGGACGAGGAGGCTCCTCCATTTCAAAATTTCACTCACGAACGGCTGAGGAGAACAAAAATAAAAACAATACCTAAAAAGCTACATTAAAACTGAAACGGAAAAGGAAAGTTAAAATAGCAAAGAAATTTCGGAGAAGCAAAACCAGAGATCGGAAATCACGGACTAGCGCACCGTTGCACCTCGCGAACCATAGCCTGCATTCACTTCTCAGTTCTCAGCTCATCGATCCATCAATGAAGGACAATGCGACAAATGGAGAGAGAGGAATTTTATGAAGAAATAGAGAGTGGCTTAGAGAGAGGAAGTAGTTTGAAAACACAGAAATGTGAGGCGGGCATTAATGGAGGTATGAGTTTTCCGTGCAGAGAGGGAGGGGGGGACAGAGAAAATGGCGTTATGTGTTATTTCTGGTTTGCTTGAAGGGAAGTTTCATTAAAGAAAACGTTTGAATTGGATTTCAAATAACACAACAAAAAATCGCATGCCATTATTGCTGTAAAGAGTACAGATAAAATATACGGCGGGGCCACAAATTATTAACCCCTTTTTGAAAGTATTTTCATTTTTCTTTGTCTTCTCCACCTTTATTCATTTCTTAGAGCCCGTTTGGTAGCACCAAAATTGGCTGTTTTGGCTGATTCTGCTGAAATTTATGATATTTTGGCTGAAGTGGCTGTTTTGGCTGATTCTGCTGATTTAAGAAAAAAATATTTTAAAAATATATTTTATTAATAAAATAAAGAAAAAATTATATGTAAAAATAGCTAAAATGGTCATCTACAGTAACTTCAGCCAATACAGCCAGAAAAGTAACTCCAACCTTACTTTTTCTGCTTATTACACAATTCAGCGCGCGAAAGTAAAAGTTACGTGTTTGGTGAAAAAGCTGGCTCATAAGCCTGATAAGCCGAAAACAGATGTCTCCAAACGGGCTCTTATTCTAATGCCGTTTTATTTGCACGGAAATTCTAACAAGACCTATCACATTCAGCGATTTTAGAGAAAAACAAGCAAAGGGAGATACAAAATGACACTAATGTTTTTAATGAATTAAAGTTCGAATTAGACACTAAAGTTTTAAGTAGATCAAATAAACAAAAAATTATAGTTTTTGGATCCATTTTGACTACCCTTTAACGCTAACCCTTCCCCGTCGTTAACTCCCCATCCGATTAAAGCTGGCTTGGATTCAAGAGAGCAGGCAACAATGGAGGTCGATCACCCTGCCTAGAAGATTACCTTCGCGTCACCGCCTCGTCGTCGCACCGCCTCGCTGTCGAAGTCGCCGATGTGTCGAAGCCTACACATTACCCATCGCAGGCTTCACCTTCGCAGAATCGCGACATCATCGAAGTTATAGCTTTTGTCATTGTTTCATCCCTGCTTCGATGTCGAAGATCTAGATCAGAACATTATTTATATAAAATGTCCTAAGCGGGAGTTCACATTTTATATTCTCTAAATAGGACTAAGCATTACTTTTGTACCCTTAATATAATCAATTCCCTCAACCCTACTAAACTATAGAATGGGGCGGCGGTCCGACGACAAGCGGCGGCGGCAACACTCTGACGGCCGGCGATCGGCAGCGGTCCGATGACTAAGCTTCAACCCCTACAAGGGTATTTTAGTCCAATCACAAATTATGACTCATGTTTATAGAGTTTTAAACATTGACTCCTTTTACACTTTGTGTATGTTTTAGTCCTGTTGTAACAATTTATTGCAATTTATTCTTCGTGATCAGTTTGCTTATTTTCTTATTGGTTACTTTTACATTGTAAAACTCTTGCAGATTGGGTAATGGGAGGCATGCTTTAATCGTCGTTGGCTTATTTATGCTCATTATAGGATCAGCGAGTTATATTGCATGTTTGAAGGTGATTGACTTTAAATTTAGTTCGAGGGCTGGCGGTTGGTTGTCTGTGGTCCTTTTGTCGTTTTACTCTCTATCTGAATGTTAATGATGTGATGTCAATTTAAGTCCCCTTCTTCCAAAAAAAATAGACAGAAAGAATTTTACAATTGTTTTTAAAATTAGGCTCATTTTAATTATCCACCCTAAGCCTTCAAAAATACAGGACCAGCCCTTGTGGGCATCATACCTGAATTGAGGTGCGGCTACTATTCTTTGATTTGCGGGACTGATATTTGTCGTGTGATTTGTGAGATATGTCATTTGCAATGTAATACCCTCAAAGTAGCACCATGTGTAGCGTGCTGTGCTCTACGTGTAAAGTTCTTATAAAGATAGCAACATGCCTCGTTCATGTCTAGATGTCCTCCTTATATCAACATCTATGTACGCACATGAATGTTTGTTAAATGTAATTATATTTATATGAAAATCGATCATAATCTTGCCAATGCTAGGATTGCTAGCAACTGTCCAAGAGTGGAATCCCACTCCTTTTATTAGGTTTATTCAGAAATGCTCAGGTCCCTTCGGAGGGACGGGAGCAGCCGTCCGAACTTCACTGTTTGGGGCGGTTTCCGGTGGAATTTTTCGATGAAATTTTTTGAGCATGTTCCTCATCAAGTCTAGTTTGTCCATACCAAATTTCAGCTCAAAATTCGACCGGGAAGGCAGTCAAATAAATTCTTGAAGCTTACTGCACATTCTGCGCATATATAAAGTGCAGTATATAGAAACATTTATTGTCAGCTTACCAATCAGTTGTTTTGAGCTTAAATTCGGACTTATCTCTTACGTATGATTGTATTGTGATAATAGGTGATTTATCTCTTCCGTATTAACTGGCCATGAAGAGTGAAGTTATTTAGGATGTTTTAAATTGGAATGAAATTTTGTGGTTTGGTTTGATCAGGGTTGGTCTGGTGTGTTTAATTCTGGTCTTGTTTGGTCTTAACTGATCTGATCTAGTCTGAAAATGTCTAACCTTTGTATATTTTTTAACTGCTTAAGTCTGATCTTGTATGCTTTGTTTTAATCTGGTCTGGTCTGTGATAATAGGTGTGTTTAATTTGGGACGAGTCATATTTGTACGGTACATACATGTAATTTATTTATTAGCTATTTTTGTTGGTAAGATTTATTGGCTATTAATAAGCCATGAAGAGTCATATTCAATTGAATTGGTCCGTACAAGTTAACTTAGCTATTAATTAGGCATGAAAAGTGGATGTATTTAAATTATTTAATGCTTCTTAGTTTTTTGTTAGCCCCGTAATATTAAGTATGAATTAAAAGTGATGTTAATTTATTTGTTTGTTAGCCAATAAGAGAATGACAAATAAGGTATTCATAACTCGGTTTTACTATTTAAAACAACAATATATTCATTTCATGCTCAGCATGTCATATCTGGATGCCTCCTTATCCACCTTAGCTCATTTTAGTTTTTATAGGTTCTTTTATTATTTAAAACGTAAACTAAATCAATGTAGTTCTTGACTAGAGTAAAATCTGGAGCATGCTCTGACAGCACATCTATTTGATAAGGGTTAAAATGAAAAATACTAATAGCTACTGTGAGTTAGTTATAAAATTCAAATTTGAATAGAATGGATTTTTATTGTAAACTGTCAACAACAAATTATAAACTCGTATTTCTTAAGTTATTATTAAATTATCCATCCATCATATATTATATATTTAGAGCCCTTTTAGAAACATGTATTGTCAGCTTATCAGTCAATTATTTTCAACTTAAATTCAGATTTATCTCTTACGATATACGAGTAATTGTATTGTGATAATAGGTGATTTATCTCTTATGTATTAACTGACCAATAAGAGTGAAGTTATTTAGTACGGAGTATGTTTTTAATTAGAATAATATTTTCTAATTTGATCTGACCTGGTTTGAACTTATGTGTTTAATTCTGGTCTGGTCTTGTTTGATCTTAACTGATCTGATCTAGTCTGCTTAAAGTCAGTCGATCTGATATGGTCTAATTTGGGACAATAAGTATTGTAGAGTCCTATTTGGACAGTACGTGTTAATTTATTTATTAGCTATTTTTGTTGGTGTAAGGAATAAATGTAATTAGATTTTGATGATGCTAGGTTATTTAGATTAGAATTTTATAGTACCCCCAACTTAGATTTTATGTATTAGAATCTTCAGTTGTAAGTACTAGTATAATCGACTATCAGAGTTGCTATGTGGATCTGATCAGAGCTGCTATATGAGAACTGCTTTCAGAGTCGCTCTCGGAAATCATGAGAGTTGCTCATCAGAGAACCATCAGTGTTGCTCTTCAGAGACTCGTCAGAAGTCTACATCAGAAAGACATCAGAGTTCGATGAAAAAGCTTCATCAGAATCCAACTCCAGAGAAGTGTCAGAGTTCCTCATATAAGTCCATTAGAACCCAAGATCAGAATGTCATCAGAGAAGCTCATCAGACTCCGACTAACACTTAGAAGAATTTCAAAGCTACTTCCAACGGCTGGGAAATTCATCAACGGCTAGAAGATATTCCGTCCAAGGAAAGTATTTAATGCTCATTAAATGAGCCTGATACACTTTGGATTAATTGCAGATGATTGACCGAGAATCCTGGAGAATATTATACAAAAATGGAAACCTGCCAAAACTGCGGGTCCAACTGGTCAAATCCACAGTACGCGCATTTAATGCAGTTGTCTCCTCCTCCAACGGGCAGACAACCCAAGTATATAAGCTACTCACCGAAGAACAGGAAAACAACTTCAACGAACTTTTTGCTCTGAACCTCATACTACAAGCATTCTTGAGATTCAAACTCCACAACACAAAAACAAGAAAAAGCTTACGTTGGGAAGATTCAATCTTACTATCTCTCATCCCCAACAAGAGCAAAGTACATTCTGTTCTTCAACACTTCAAGATCTTCATCAAACATCTTTTGTAACGAAGCAAGTTGGAGGAAAAACTTTGTTTTTCAAAGGATCTTCTGAAAAGAAGGGCGTCCAAGCAACTGCAGTAGTGAAGTGGTGATACTTCCGGGAAGCTGAGTGAAAGGACCAGCCATCAGGACGTGGAACTGCATCCTGGGTGGCAGCTAGGCTTGAAGAAGGCGTGGAGAACTTCTTAAGTGCTAGGAACTAAGCTTTGTAACCGATCTACTTCAAAGCTAGTGGAACAGTGGACTAGAGGAACGTGTTGTTCCTTGAACCACTATAAAAATATCTGGTGTCATTTAATTTACTGCAACTTAAATTTCTGCACTTAGGACATTAACTGATTAACTCTAAGACTTGGAATCTGTGTTCAGCAGATCTTGTTTTCAGAGTTATCAGAAAGGCATTTACCTTAGTGTTTCTGAGGCTACCCGGACAGATCAGAATCCGCTGCCAATGCCAGTTCTGATATCAGAACCAGCCTTCCTCTGTTACCAGAGTAAGACCTTCTCTGATAAGTCAGGTTGGACTTAGAGAAAAATTTGAAAACCCAATCAGTCTATTCACCCCCCCCCCCCC